TTTTTTTTTCGCGCACGTGCACGTGCACCACTCTCTCGCGCATTGCGCACAGCGCCCTGCGCCGCAACTATGATACATATATATATATATACAGGGTAACCGGTGTTCGGGACGGGCCGAACGCCCGAACGTACGGGACACCTTGGGGATGCGTTCGGCCGTTCGGGCCAGACGCGGACCAAAAAAAAAAAAAAAAAAACTGGAAAAACGATATGTTATGGAGACAAATAAAATAAACAACATTTGCCTGAGCATTACCTCCAAATTCCTTACCAGATTTGAAATAAAAATTAAAAACAGAAAATAAAACTAATAATAAAAATAATAAAAAATGAAAAGAGAATTAAAATTAGTGAGTCAGCGAGAACGCTCCTGCCCCCGACTGATGTGCATTGGGCAGTACTCGCCAAATGTAGGCGGTTAGGATATGCAGGGCAAGTTGAAAGACTGCCTCTCTTTTGGAAGCTTTTGTCCTCGCTCGTTGTAGCAAAACATGCGGGCCTGCTGTGGCAGATCACTCATGACGCTGTCCCTACAGCGCAAATGATATACCGCAGATGTAAAAAGGGAGTGCCTTTCTGCCAAGTGTGCAACCGTGGCTGCGTGGTCGAGGATGCGCAACACATTTGGGTTACCTGCAACCACGTGAGAGTACTGTGGGAAAAATGGAAAGATGAGAACGTCACACCGGCTCACTGGGGAGATTTGTGGACAGAGGGAGGAATACTGTTAGGAACCTTCCTCGTGCACCTCCCAAAACCTAAAGCATGTGTATGAAACTGTTCGAGCAACGCTGCTGTGGGCCATTTGGAGGCAGAGAACTGATGTGGTCAGAAACGAGAGTTTGCCATCGCTGCAACAACTCCTTCGCTACGTACGCAAGATTCTTCGATATATCATCTGGCTGGACTTGGCAAAAAAGATTAAAACGGCGACTTCTCTTCTAGCTGGGGTCAAGTGGTTCAAGGAAAGGTCGGCTGCATGCCCCTCTCTGCTGACAATTGACTCGTGCACAGGGGACATCTCTTTTGGTCCTTTTCTCCAGCAGCCGGCGTAATCAGAAATTGGCGGCCATATAACTGGTTGCATGTTGTTTTTCCTTTTTCTGATGATTTCCCCCCTTTCTAATGATTTGGTTTTGAGGGGTTGTTTCCTTTTTCTGAAGTTAGTAAAGTGTAAAAAAAAAAAAAAGGAATAAAGTGTAAAGTGTTGTGATTTTTAGTAAGTTTTCAAGGTTTTTTTGGGAGTATCCCTTTTGTTTCTAGCTAGGCTCGTAGCTTTTTTCACAGGGGACAGGCTCCGCTTGCTGGATGCACTCAGAGGCCTTGTGGCCCCTGAATCTGAAAACTCTATTTCAGCTCCTTTGTTTTGCCTTGGGCACTGGGCCCTGATAATAAAAAAAGAAAAAAAGAAAAAAAGAAACAAAAAATTAAAGTTGTCAAAAAAAAAAAAAAAAGAATGTTTTCGACACCGCCATCTTTGGCGATTTTTCTTTTTTTTTTGGCACAGCCAAATGCCCTGAAAATTTACAGGTGTGTACTTCACATAATACAAAACTCACTAAAAACAATTCAAAATATAATAAAATTGTTTAGGTCCCGCAATAAAGTGAAAACAAAAAGTAGTCGGGGGCGGTGCTTGGGCAATGGGGGATCGCACGGGTGCTGTCAAGAAGATGGTAGCGCCTTGCCAGAGCTTGTTGCTGGGGTGGTGGGAGTGTGGGGGATAGAGTGTGTGGGCACTAAGGGGGACACACTGCAAGAGGGTTTGAAGAGCCCTTGCCATGGGCCAGTCCCGGCTGACTGGGGTTAGCAATCCTGATCGAACGAGGAAGGATGGTGGCAGATGTGTGGACGGGGTGGGATCCGAGCATTGCGATTTACCAGAGTTTCAGCTGGTTTATAACTGATTCACACCTGATGGGACCGATCGAGGGCTTAGTCCGTCGGTCTTTGATATGGAGATGCTGCGGGGTTATCCTGTCTACGAGCAATTGTGGGCGGCCTGCGGCGAGAATTTGCCAGAGCTGCATGGCGATAGAGTGCCGCGGTGCGATGGAGCTGACCGCACGAGCTGCTTTGTTGATTTTGTTGTACTATAGAAACTAGTTGCTGTTATTGAATTTGTCGTGTGGATGACACTGCGAAAACTAGGGTTGGACGATCGGGGTTAGTTTGTGGGATTGCATACACGAAGAATATGATGTTGTAGGTTCGGCGATAGAAATAGTAATTTGTTAGTATTTCGTTGTTGAAACTAGGGCTTGTTCTACGTTTGCTGCTTTTTGTGTGCTTTGTAGACAATAGGAGTTATGTTTTGAATTGTTGTAGAAATTGAGGTTGCCTCGGACGAGGAATATCGTTATGTAGCTGTTGTTATCTAACCTACCGTGTGTTGAAATAGTATTTGCAGCTATCTGTTAGTTTGTAGGTTTGGTGATATAAACGGTAATTTGCTAGTATTTTGTTGTTGAAACTAGGATTCGTACTACGTATGTTTCCTTTTGTGGTTGCTTGGACGAGGGATATCGTTATGTAAGTGGAATTAGGGTTCGTCACCTGATTTTTGCAGTTATGGGGAACGAGGTTTGTGGGACTGTAGGTGGTAATGAGAATAGCCTTATGTTGACCTGTTGATTTTGTTGCCCTGTAGAAACTAGCTGTTGTTATTAAACCTGTCGTCTGTTGAATCAGTACTATGGTTGGATGATCGGGGTTTGCAGCTATTTGCTAGTATTTGTTCATGGATTTTAGGGTTTGCAGTCACACTGTGGTCCTATCTTAGGGCTTGACCAGTGATGTCTCGCCCTTTGATGGGGCCACCTACCTCTTGTGCGGGACGCCAGGCCCGTTTCCTGGCTTATTGAAATATAAGGGACGCCGGGCCCGGTTCCCGGCTGCCTTTCTTTAAAAAAAAAAAGAAAAAAAAGAAAAAAAAAAAAGAAAACAAGTAAAAAGTGAAAAAAAAACAAAATACTACAATAGTCACGTTTTGACACCGCCATCTTTGGCAATTTTTAATTTTTTCTTGGCTTAGCAAAATGACTTCGAAATTTATAGGCATGTACCGCTTTTTTTTTTTTTTTTTTTTTTTTTTTTTTTTACACGAAACAGCTCCATCTTTTGGTCACATTGTAGAGAACTCACAAAAAAAAATCAGAAAAAAAGTTATTTTTAGGCCCCTAAATACTTTTTGGCGGGGGCTGAACGCCTTCGGGTTCGGACCCCGAACGCCCGTACGTACGGAAGTTGGCCCGGGGAACTCCGTACGTACAGGCTGGTGACCCTGTATATATATCGTCAAATATATATCGTCACAAACAGAACTGCCCGGTAAACCGTAGGCAGAGAGAGAGAAGAGGACAACAAACGAGGGGCTGTGACAAACTGTTTCGTCGGAGTTTCACCGACTCATCAGGAGCCTGAACCCTCAACCGTCTGCAGAATCCCCTCACTGATTACACTGTAAATGATAATCTACCTTAACCAAAATCAAAGTAGACTATCACTCACCCAC